GCAGGAATCCCTCGTGCACATCCACGTGTGCAACAACGCCTACCCTTTGCTCTCGTTCCGCCGCTCCTCATTTCTTTCTACCTTTTTTCCCGGTCTGATCCGGCCGCTCGACGCTCGATTCTAGTGGGATACAATACGCGATAAATTGACCAGCGCGAGCTCCGATCCTCTTTGCCTCGAGAGATCAAGTGCTTCCGCGCTCGCTTTTCTCTGATCGTGCACGTGGGTGCGCGCGAGTGTGCACTTGACGCATTGGAGTATTCGATGCGAGCGGACGCCTCATACGGCCGCCGACATTCATAAATGCTAATTCCTTTTGCAGCTCGTCGAGTTGCTGCATTTATCAGCTCTAATTCGCGACACCGTTTAAATCTTGAAACCTACACTCATTATTGCTGCTTTTTCATGGAAAATCTCCCCACGTATAAAATAACCTATAACTTGTGTTTTTTTCTTCTTTTTTTTCTTTTTAATCACTTGCTTGGATTAACCGAGACATTGGGTTTATAGATATTCCTACGTAATTTATGGCAATCAAATTATATAATTTGGACGGAAGTATGAATCTTTTTACCCGGGTGATTATATCATTTGAAAATATGGATTCCGAATACTTAAGTTCATTTATTTATTCAATTTCCTCATCACTGTTAATTAGAGGCATTCGTTTTGGCAATGAATCACACTAATATGTCAATTTTTTTTTTTACTAACGTCTACATGAATAATTTGTTTGTTTTGTTTCGTTTTTATTTCTTCACCAGTCTGTAATATTAAGTTCTTTTTTCTTTTTCTTTTTGAATTAGATACATAATCAGTGTACTACTATAAATTATTTTTCTTACTTAATACTCTATAAATATAACAATTATCTTTAAAAAAAAAAAAAAAAAAACTATCTTAATCTACAGCTTTATTGAATATCATTTGATATTGAACGATAGAATAAGAACCGCTTGTATGAAAATCTTTTTCAACATACACATTAACAATGAATTGATCGAGTCAATGTTTTTTATTGGATAAAATAAGAATTTCACTTTAAAAATTATTAAATATGATGTATTTTATACAAGATATTTCCCTACCGCATCAAACAGTCGTACTACTTTTAACGAATCCAAGTATCATTGTTTTTCAATATGTATAACTTGAATAATTATAAGATAGAAAAAACCTATCATTTCTACATGATAGACGTTCATTAATGTAAAATGCAGCTTACAAAAGAAAGATTACAATGAGGTTTCAGTTCTTGTCAGTCAAAACATCTTTAAATTTGAAGATCGTGATTCTTATATTTCTATTCAGCCAATTAACTATTGCGAAGACTTTTATATTTAACCACATTCATTAAAGAGTTATTCAATCATTTAATTATATTTTGTTTATCTTCGACGTTGAAAATTTCAATTAAATTACAATAAAAAAATATCTCATATTAATAATGGACGCACGAGCTAATTTTATAAGCTAATTGAATAATTTCCTTCGACAATAAATCCTTAAAAATGTGGTGAACAGAGTGTTGACATAATAATAAAATCAATAATAATAATAATGACGATCACAATGCTGGTGTTATTAAATTATTTGTACTTTTTATTTTTTTTTTGAAATGTAATGATGATTCGATAAAGTGGAAGAAGTCAAGGTGATCTCTTCCTTTAATTTCTCTTATATTAATATAGGAGATCGATTATCGCCAACTAATCACAAAATTGATTTATACCGACACTTATCAACGTTTGGAAATCTCGCCGGGGTAGGCGAAAAAGAAAAGGGGCGAAGGTAAATTGATAAAACTGTGAATAATTCAAGAATAAATTAATGCGGCATAATTCAAAAGCGACAGGAACTCGCGTGCCGCGCGTGCGTATGTAAAATTTGATTCGATCGAGGACTTTCATAGCGCTCGCATATCGATTGCGTAGACGGACGGTTGGTGTTATGAATCATATAAATATATGAGCATACGATTGGATCGTGCAAGGATGCTAAAGCAAACGTAAAGCGAATGAGGGAGGGAGGGAGAGAGAGAGAGAGAGAGAGAGAGAGAGAGAGAGAGAGAAATAAGTATAACGATGTACTCGTAGGCGATTGAAGACGAAAACACAAGCGGGCGTACACTTGGACACAGACAATGATCGTGCCAATGCGGCCAGTAATGACCCATTGTTTCCTGCAAAAAGCCTTGACGATGTTATCGATAATTACAAAATGATATGGGAAGCATAAGTACATATCTGTGCAGACGACCGCTAATACACGGCCGCGATCTCTATATCTAATACCGCGTAGTCCGCGGTGGGGGTGTATCGATAGTCCGAACGCACCGCATCCGGTGAATATTCGTCACGTGGCCACAACGAAGACGTAAGAAAATTGACAGCTTACCTGCCTTCTCCTTTTATCTTTATGATAAAGTACATTTTTCTCTATCCTCTATTTTTTTTCCGTTTTATTTTTTCAATTCCTTATTTTCATCATAAAAACGTCCGCCGGATGACTGTATATCGCTCCGCCGGTGTAAATTATATTTACTCATTATTGTTTTCCTTTCCTTCCTATTTTTTTTTTTCGAGCTGCTTACTCAGGAATTGACGATGGTATCGCGAAAAAATTGTTGGCGATTAGACCGATTCGCATAGTCTAATGCGCCCTGAGACGCAAAATGTCAGCGAGACGTCGGCGGCGAGGGACTGCCGATTATTATTTGTCACGAGAAAAACGTATTATAATACGCCGGGCGAAATCGTGCGATAATAGGTCGTTTCGCAACTTTTGATATTGACCAATGAGATCGGTAAAAGCGACTGATGACATACAACATACAGATATACTTAAATGAATATACGCCATACACACATTGATAGGAGATTAACGAGGAGAACGCGGGTCGCTAGCGTCGTTCGCCGGACGATATTTTACTGCCGAATTCGTAATTACTTTAATTGGTTCCAGATGCTAATTAATGACCTAAACATATGCTGCGCCATACAGATCAAAAGCCGATAGGAGAAGGAGAAAGAGGAGAGAACGTACTATGGCGTCACCCCGCGAACGCGCATGTGTTTGTCGTTACAAACTCGACGATGATGTTATCGGTGCTTTACCGCCGCTCGCAAGCGCGCTACAAACGTCCACCAGCATAGAATAAAACGGCAGATTGAACGATT